CTCCAAAATGGATAGCTGAAACTTACAAAAATAAGATTTTAGATAATCCTAAATGGCCAGTAGAGGCAATGATGACAGAGATGCAAAGGAAAGTAGGGATTATTTTCAATAGATGACAAATGTATCAGGCTAAAAAATATGTGTCTCAGATTGGTGTGGGGTCTGGTTGTGAGCAATATGCTATGCTTTGGTCTTATGCTGAAGAGATCAAAAAGAACAACCCTGGGACCACTGTTCAAATTAAAAGAAAACTTGTAAATGGAGAGCCACTGTTTAAAAGAATTTATATTTGTTGGGGATCTTTGAAAAGAGGTTTGCTTAAGGGTTGTAGGAAGGTTATATGCTTAGATGGTTGCCATTTGAAAACCACTTGTGGTGGTGTTCTATTGACTGCAGTTGGGGTTGATGGGAACAACTGTATGTATCCTTTTTCATATGTTGTTGTTGAAATGGAAACAAAAAAAAAAACTTGGCATTGGTTTGTTGAACTGTTGAAAGCAGATTTGGGGATTGAGAATTCATTTCTTTGGACAATAATGTCAGACAAACAGAAAGGGCTTGTAGATGCCATTGAAACTATACCGCCAGATTCTGAGCACAGGTTCTGTGTCCAACACTTATATGGAAACTTTAGGGCTTCATTTAAGGGATTGGCCCTAAAAAACTTGTTGTGGAGAGCAGCTAGGTCAACTAGAGTTGTTGACTTTAATGCTGCAATGAAAGAATTGCAAGGAAGAGACAAAGAAGCTTTTGAATGGTTGGCTAAAAAGCCAGCAAATCAGTGGTCAAGGTCACACTATAGTTGCCACTCAAAGTGTGATATGCAGCTGAATACCATGTCTGAGTCTTTTAACTCACTTATTCTGAGAGCAAGGAGTAAACCTATTCTTTCTATGTTGGAAACAATAAGACTTATATTGATGAAGAGGACCTACATGAGAAGGGATCAAATGAGGAAACACTTGCATGGGAACTTGTGCACAAAAATCATGAAGCTGTTGGAGGAATTGAAAAAGAAGTCTATGGGTTTTATATGTCACTGGAATGAAGAAGACCAGTTTGAAGTGGATGGAAGCTCAGGGAGATTCAGAGTTCATATGGGGGAGAAGTCATGCATATGTAGGAAGTGGGACCTCACAGGTATCCCTTGTGAGCATGCAATAAGTGGTATGTTCTTGTTGGGTGCTCAACTAGAGGATTATGTTGTTGACTGGTACCACAAAGACACATTTTTGATGGCTTATCTGAGATGTTGGGCACTCTTCAACCTCCTGAATGTTGGCCAAATGTAGAAGCATTACCACTACAACCACCAACTATTGGCAGACTACTTGGAAGGCCAAAAGAAAATGCTAGAAAAAAACAGCCCCATGAAGAGGTTTTGGCAGGAAAATCCAAGAAACAAGTTCAAGTAAGGCTGAGTAGAAAAGGGAGATTAATGAGATGTTCTCTCTGCAAGAAAGACACCCACAACATCAGATGTTGTCCTTTAAAAACTGACAAGAGTGCACCAACTGAAGGACTTCCTATACCTCCCTCTAATGAAGACAATTCTGTGGTCAAGGTAATTGAAATTGTTAAAAAATTATGTGTTTTATTATAAATATTGTTTTCTTCTAAATTACATTGTTTTTTATGAAGAGAAAGAAGAGGAAAACAACTCAGAGAGAGAGTCAAAGTGAAGTACCAGCCCCTATTGAGGACCTTAATGTGGTTAAGGTAATGATCTTTGTTATACATAGTACAATTATGGTTATGTATTTTCTAATTCAAAAATTGTATATATTATACATTTTTTTTTTGAAGGGGAAAAAGACCAAAACAAGTGGCAAAGTGTATGATGTGTCAGCCCCTATTGAGGATATTACTATGAGGAAGGTAATTTTATTTGTTAGTTGAACAATTGTTATTATTGGTTTATTTTATTCATTCAAGAAGTTTGTTTTCTAACTTGAGATTGCATAAATTGTTTGTGAAGGGGAAAATGAAAGAAACTGTGAGAGCAAGTGATGTTTTACAAACACAGGAATCTGTTGCAATGACAAATACAAGGTTCACCAGAAGTCAAGTCCTATCTGAGCATCATGAGAAAGGCAAATCTTCAAGACTCACAAGAAGCCAGTCAGTTGGGCCTAGTGGAGTTGCAACAAAAGCTTCAAGACTCACAAAGACCCAAACTCCATCTGCATCTACACCTACTAGGAGAAAAGAAAGTCAGATTACAAAAGAAAGGCATATTTCTGTTGCAACTTCACCCACAAAAGTCAGAAAGAGCCAAACTCAGTCTGCACCTGCACCTACACCTACAAAAGTCACAAAGAGCCAAACTCAATATGCACCTGCACCTACACCTACAAAGAGAAAAGAGAGTCAGACCACAGGGCAAAGTTCTGTTGCACCTTCACCCACAAGACTTACAAGAAGCCAAACTCAATCTGCACCTGCAACTACACCTACAAGGTTAACAAGAAGTCAGTCCAATGGTCTTACACCTACCAAGGAATTGGGGCCAAAAAGGACCCAAAAAGTTGAGAACAAGAGCAAGACATTGGGACTGAAGAGGAAACTAGAGGTATTAATAATACTCATTTTCTTGTGATTTTTTCTCTATGTGTTTCAATCTGTTCAAATGATATCATTTTGTTATTCTATTCATAGGTGTCCAGGAAACATAATCCATTAACTCAAGGTGCAAGCTTTTCAACAGCAAAAGGACCTGTTGTGAACAGGCAGGTGATGCAATCTCAGCCTGAGCCAGAGATATTGGGAACATATTGGGTTACTACTGGTGGGAGCATAGTGGATAAGTAGGTCTTAGTTCTTTTGATAGATGCTGTGGATTTTGGAACTGTAATGGTTGTGGTTGGTTTTTGGATGTGGTTCATAAGTTTGTTGAACTCAAATAATGGGTGTTAGCTTTTAGATTTAATGGTTGGTTTTGGATATATTATGGTTAATTTTTGGATCTATTTTGGTTATTGACTTGGTTGTTAACATTGTAAAAACCTGTTGGGAATATTGTTGGAATGGAAGGCTTATGTAAATTACATAATGTGCAAATTATGATTTATGTTATGCCATTGTAAAAACCTTTTGGTCATCTATTGTTTTCGTATTTCTGTTATACACACAACCATTCACACATCATGTAAAAACATGTTACTAAATTTCTAAAGAAAGTCATCTACAAACACCTAATGCAAAATGACATCAACAGATACAAAAAGACATCAACACTGTATATGTTTGAACAACCAAAATGGTGTTTGATTATAACCAAAAGAGTTTGAACAACACACATTAGCATTACCATTACAGAACCACAAATACAAAAGACATCAACACTACCTAATACAAAAGAGAACCACAAACCTAAAAGCTTAGAAAACACTACATCATGCAATATATGATCACCCAAGATATCAGAATTACAATCCACAGCCAACGCTCACGAACACTTTTTCTCTTCAAACACAATTCAAGATTGACCCTTTCTTCCATGAAATCTTCAATACAAAGATTGGCCTCTTTCAAATCTGATTGAAGTTTCTTCACATCAGATTGAAGTTCCTTCACACCAGCTTCCAACCTCATCACATCTACTTCAAGAATTTGAGCTTCACTTTCAAATCTGTTGGCACGTTTCAAAAGGTCGGGAATAATTTCACGAGCTCTAGGGCACAAAAGTGGTTCAATCCACGCAAAATATATACAACCACCATCATCATATAATTTTCAGTTACATAAACAAATTAATTTAAGGAGAAAAATCGAGCTTATTGAATTCGCCCAATTTTTTGAATTAGGGTTCACTGAATTTGCCCAAATTCATAAATTAGGGTTTCCCAAATTCATCACTTACCCGATTTTTTGCGCATGTAATGTATCTCCTTCCTGGATTTTGAACACTCCACGATGTTTTCGTAACAACATTCATCCCGCAGTTGCATAGTTGAGCCATTGTCGCCGTCTGTCTCCAAGCTAATTTTCGCGTGAAGAAGAAGAATGAAGAATAGGTAACGTACGCGCCTTTTTTTTAATAAATCTGCTAAGACGATGAAATGACAAAATTGGCCTTCATATGTAATGCAAAATGGCAAATTTACCCCCAAAATTGGAGCGTGCGACTCACACGCTCGCTTTTCCGGTGGAAAACGAGCCGCCGATGGCCATAGGTTGGATACAGGTAAAGCCGTGTTTTAAAGGTTGCAATATAGTACTAAATTTTGTTTATGTTGCAAATCCAAAAAAACGCGATTAGTACAGGTTGCATAAAATTATTTACCTAAAATAAAAGCATGATCTAAATAATAAATAATATGCAAAAGATAGATTCTAGGATGAACGTTTCTTGGAATTAATTTATGAAACGTTTAAATTCAGTCAAACCTTATTTAATTTAATCTATCGTAAAAATATCGCTAAATTAATTTAACCTTTCTCTCGAACAAGTTAAATCGTAGATTAATTGCTATCTATTTCCTCTCGGTCTCAAATGAACGACCACCTCCGTAAATTTCTAATTTTGCGTTCTCTCGTAAAGTCATATCAACCTCTTTGTCTGTTTATACTCTTACGTTATAAATTTCTCAATTCTAGCAATCAATATCTCCTATCGGTCTCATATCAATCACAAATATACATTCAGAGTGGTCATCTACTCATACAATAAAAATACACAAAAGAAATTTATAAACGAAAGATCAACTGGAATGAAAGCAATAAAAACTATATCATAACTAAATTCAATTGGCGTTTTAGGAGGGTTTTTTTTCTAACTAAATTCAATTGGTCGTCTAATATTTTCCCTGTGCCTATAAGTTTGTATGGTCTGTGTTTATTGTTTAATGATGAGAAGCTTTGTTCTGCTTTCACGAGGCATTGGCTCCATGCCATGTACCAATCAAGATCTTCATAAATAATTTCAAGAACAAAACATGCTAAAGGAAAATTACTAATCAAAACTAACAAATCCACAAAATTCCAAAATCAGAAGCTAGCTAGCTCGGGAAAAACCACATGGGCTCTGGGAAAATCGGTTTTAAGTTGGCAGGATCGCATGGATAATAGCATGGCGACACAGTCTTGTCCTCATAACTGAAGATGCCAATGTCATGGTTCCCACCATCATTACGTTCCCAAGGATCTGATTTAACATCCGTAAAGTAAATGGAGTTGGGCTTTAGCTCTGGGAAGTCACGCGCACGCAACGCAACAGAGTGATTGTACTGACCAACGAAAAGAGCCCAACCACCCAAACACGAACCTTCCACATACTTTAAATCCCCATCCTTCGGATCATATCTATGAACATCAAAGTCAATAGTGGCGGACGAGAGGTCAGAAGGTGATTCTTCTAAGTAATAGTCAAAATACACACCATCCGAGTTAACGGATTCCACGACGTAATGAGTCACAACAAGGAGATCCTCTCCGGCAATCACCAGATGGTACCAATGCCAACATGTCAAGTCGTCTCTAGACTGTATCAACTCTTTCTTCTTCATCATCGTCTCTTCATGGTTGAGGATATTACTAAACTCACCGATAATTCGTATCAATTTCGGGGACGCAGCCGTCAGGTCCCAAGCCTCCAATTGGAAATTGTCGGTGAGGGCAAAGAGCGTGTGTTGGGTTGTGGAGTAGACGCAATCTCTATAATAGTTGTCTTTGGAATTTGCGCAATCCAAATCATAGTTGTCTTTGAAATTTGTGCCGAACCATTTCCAATCGTCACTGGACAAAGGGCAGCACACAGCCATGCAAGCCCCACAGTAAGTTAGGCTCACGGCCACACAATTTTCAGTGTCGGGAGAACAGGTGAGGAAGGACTTATGGAGAATGGGTGCGCTGTTTAGATCAACAGACGGGCGGTAGGAAGGTGGGAGCTTTATGCGGCGGTGAGATATGGGGTTGTAGAGTAACAGATCGTGGGTTTCGGGCTGCACAAGGGATACCCAGCCACCGCCGGAAGAACCCCGGAAACTCAGGTCGCTGGGTATTTGTGGGACCCGCCGGGTCTCGACCCTGTTCTCGGCCAGATTGTAGAATTTGTAAGTCAACGTGGTGGCGGCCGTGCAGGCGGCGCCGGCTTCATATACGGGTCGCAGGATCAGCCAAGGAGAAGAAGATGTATTGATTTTTTCCGGCGACACCAGCGCCGCTGTGCTCATGCCTCTCCGACAAGACCAATTACAGTCGCGACTCCATTTTCCAGAAATCGAAAATCCGGCAAACCCTGGGCCACGGCGCAGCAGGGAAGAATAAGCCATCAATTAGGTTTATCCAATTTTATTTTGTGATTATGTAAATCGAGCGACCGAATTCTGAAATGTAACTCTGTCTGACCTATCCTATTTATTCGAAGAGTAAAAACGAGAAGCGTTATCTTGTGGGATAAGTTAGCTTCCTTTCTCTATCGCTCTCGTTTTCAGTTACCAAATTAAATAGGAAAAATTACATTTTGCATACAAAACTATTCGTGTTTTTACAGTTTGCCCACTCAATTTTTTTCGGTAGCACTTTACCCCTTGAACTTAAAAAATTCTTGCACTTAACCACTTTGGGCCACCAGAGATGCAGAATCAAGGGCAAAATCGTCATTTACACCTTAAGAGACACCTCAAATCAGTCTTCACGAGTACACTTTGCTTACACTTTCCCCTTAATTTTGCATCTCCGGTAGCCGAAAGTCGCTAATTACAAGAATATTTGAAGTTCGAGGGGTAAAGTGTCACCGGAAAAAAATTGAGTGGACAAAGTGTAAAAACGCGAATAGTTCGGTAGGCAAAGCGTAATTTTTCCAATTAAATATGCCACGACTTTCTATAAGGAGATTCTAACCATTCCTTCGGGGTTTATAATCGTTAGATCAACTATCCACAACGGTTACATTATGATCTAACGTTTACAAATCCCGACGGAATTGTTCCGTAACTGTAGCATTTCCCCTTTCTATATATAACTATTCAATTGTAATAATCCTTATTCTGTTTTCTAGTCTTTCACGTTTTTGTGGGCGATACTTAGAAAAATTATAGATTTTTTCAGTCTCGATTGATCGTTTATTGGCTGTCGGTGATTGGTGAATCGAATTAAACGAATAAACTGTGTTATTAATTTTGTTATATTTTGCCCAATTTGTTTACCCAATCGTGTTTTGGCAAATTTTGTATGGTTGATTTGATAATATCTTCCCTATATATTATTCACGAATGCGCTAAGTCTATGTGGCTGTTTCTGGTGCTTCGAAATCCTACTTGGCAAATAATCATGTTTCGTAATTAGGTTTGGATAAATTTTAATTTACTTTCAATCAAAAAATAATTAGGTTCGGATTATCCATAAATATGTTGATTATTTATGGTTATGTTACATGTATTAATTGTATTTTAATATTATTTTTTATTATAAGAATTGAATTATCAATATATTTTAAAAGTTAATAACTTTTTGTATTTTTTTATCAGTTTTACATATATAATATATCAAATTAGTCGTCTCTTGATGAGCTTTGATTTAACATCCATATTGTATGTATAAAAAAAATAAATTATATTTATCTTTATAACTACCCACATGCCCCCTGAATTTTTGCTTACAAAAATTAATACATATATAATATATATACTATAAAATATGTACAAAAGGTATTTACATTATATTAATAATTAAAACTTAATAAAAATCAATATATATATATTATATTGAGAAAATACTATAAAATATATATAGAATTGTAAAAAATATTACAATATTAATATAATTAAAACTTATATTATGTGCTATTTTATTGTAAATTAATATTATCATTTATATATTAAAAAATGTACTAACAATCCTTATATTTTTAAATTTCTAGATAAGCTTTTGAAAATATTTATAATGATTTACTCTTTCATTCTCTTATTGTAAATCGATTTAGTGATTTATAAATCGAGTATTTAGTTGGATTGTTACATTTTTTTATGTTGTTTTTTACTCTTTTGTGTAATCAAATATTATTAACTTTATTTATTTTTTCTTAAAAAATGTTCATTTGATAAGGTCCCATCAACAGAAATGCTATGCAATGTGGTGCAAAAGTTCAATTTAAATCAATTTTTCAACCAAAAAAAAAAAAAAACTTATTATTCTATAAATTATAGATGTTGAGCTTAAATTATAAATATATGAAATATTTTTTTAGTTATTGTTTAAAACATTAGCGGTGATACGGATTCTAAGTTCTTAAGAACTTTATTGTACATGTATATATATTTATATTTGCAGTAAATACATTTTTATATGAAATGAGTATTTCAACTTAAACTATAATTCGTTATTTAACATTTTAAATCGGGCCCCCCTGAGTAAAATTTATAGATCTGACACTGTATAGCACATGTAAGTCGCACAAGTAACAAGTGTCATTTTAAAGTATATAATAGTATATATTATTTGTAAAAAATAAATAAAATGAATAATATTTTTTCTCATTAATTTTAAAATTTAATAATAATTTATTAACGAGCACCCGTGTAATACACGGGCGTTGTACTAGTTATAATGAAAAGAGGAATGGATGGTTGACAGATTTTTTTATATAAACAAAAAAAAAAAAA